CAACATTTATTCGATACCAAATCTTTAAATAGAAACAGTTAAGAGAGTAAAGAGAATGAAAAGAAAATTTCTAATTTTGTGGGATGCTTACTCCACTCTATGATCTCATATATATATATAGGATTACAACATTTAAAACAACAACTACCAACTACTAACAATCACCAACCACCAACTACTAACTACTAACCTCTAACTAATAATAATTCTAAAACACTCCCCCTCAAGCTGGAGCATACAAATTGTATGTACCAAGCTTGGAACAAATAAATTCAATTCGAGGTCCTCTTAAAGACTTTGTCAACACATCTGCAAGTTGATCATTGGACCCGACAAATTCAGTGCAAATTTCTTTAGACAACAATTTTTCACGAATAAAATGACAATCAAGTTCTATATGTTTGGTCTTTTCATGGAACACCGGATTAGAGGCAATGTGGAGAGCTGCTTGATTGTCACAATACATCTTCATCTGTTGGATCTCACAAAATTTCAGTTCTTGAAGGAATTGTTTCACCCACACTAGTTCACAAGTGAGAGATGTCATTGCTCTATATTCAGCTTCAGCAATAGACCGGGCCACTACATTTTGTTTCTTACTTTTCCAAGAAATAATATTGCCTCCAATGAGAACACAATATCCTGTAGTGGAGCGTCTGTCCATAGGGGATCCAGCCTAATCAGCATCACAATACCCAGATATTTGGGTACCCCCTTTATCTTCATACAACAGACCTTGTCCTGGAGCTTTTTTGAGATATTTTAGGATGTGAACGACAGCATTCCAATGATCAATACGTGGATTTTGCATAAATTGACTCACAACTCCAACGGCAAAAGATAGGCCAGGTCTGGTAATGGTGAGATAAATGAGTTTCCCAAGTCTTCTATATCTCTCAGGATCAGAGAGCGGTTCACCTTGATCCGCCTTTAATTTCTGATTTGGATCCATAGGGCTATTTACTGGTCTACAATCAATCATACCTGTTTCTTTCAGGATATCTAAAGCATACTTTCTTTGGGAGACTATGATGCCTTCTTTTGATTGAGCCACTTCAATCCCTAGAAAGTATTTGAGACAACCAAGATCCTTAGTTTAGAAGTGATTGCATAAATGTTTTTTTAGCAAAGAAATTTTATCAACATCATCCCCTGTAATGACTATATCATCTACATATACAATTAAATAAACACATTTTCCTGAAGCAATATTATAAAAAACAGAATGATCTGCTTCACTTCGTTTTAATCCAAAACTTTGAACAATGTGACTAAACTTTCCAAACCACGCACGTGGAGATTGTTTGAGACCATAGAGAGAACAATGTAACTTACAAACCAAACTAGACTCCCCCTGAGCAACAAAACCAGGAGGTTGCTCCATATAAATTTCCTCCTCAAGATCACCATGCAAGAATGCATTCTTGATATCTAACTGATGAAAAGGCCAATGACGGATAGCTGCCATAGCAAAGAAAAGTCGAACAGTAGTCATTTTGGCCACTGGAGAAAAAGTATCACTGTAGTCAAGGCCATAGATCTGAGTATAGCCTTTTGCTACTAATCTAGCTTTGAGTCGATCAACTTCACCTTTTGGTCCAACTTTAATGGCATAGACCCAACGACAACCATCAGTCTTCTTCCCATGTGGAAGAGGAATTAAGTTCCATGTACCATTGTGCTCAAGAGCCTGCATTTCATCAATCATGGCTTGTCGCCATCCAGGATGATCAAGTGCCTCTTTCACATTTTTTGGAATATTAATAGTGGATACAGAAGAAACAAAAGAAAAATAGGAAGGAGACAATCTATGGTAGCTAAGAAAATTGTAAATGGGATGTGGATTACGAGTAGAGCGAGTACCTTTGCGAATGGCAATGGGCCAACTTGAGTCATCATTATCAGGAATCGTGGTATCAGGGGATGATTGAGAAGGATCTGCTGAGGAAGACTCATCTTGGGACATGGGACTGATCATTTGACTCCTGTGTTGATAGGTAATAAGAGGCAGTGATGAGGATTCCGGTGTATTTTGTGTGGAATTTTGGGTGTTAGGAGGAGGAGGTACAAATGGCTCCACTAAGGGTATAGGTAGGACATTTTGGACCGAACTAATATCTTGCATAGAAGAAGGGAAGAAGGGAGTTGACTCAAAAAAAGTGACATTAGCAGACATGTAGTACCTCTTGGTTTCAGGAGAATAACATCGATATCCTTTTTGAAGACGAGAATATCCCAAGAAGACACATTTGATGGCTCTAGTTGATAGTTTGTCTAATCCTTGAGACATATCATGAACAAAACATACGCAACCAAATACATGAGAAACATAAAAGAGTGGGTCCTTTGGCCATAGAATAGAGTGTGGAACTTTATTGTTAAGAGAAGAAGATGGCATTCTGTTAATGAGAAAACATGCAGTAAGAATAGCATCTCCCCAATGATGAACGGGCATATTTCCACCAAGTAATAAGGTACGGGCAGTTTCAACCAAATGTCTATTTTTTCGTTCTGCTATACCATTTTGTTGTGGTGTGTGAGGACAAGTAGACTGGTGTAAAATGCCTTGGGAGCTTAAGAGAGTAGAGAAATCAGTAGAAAAGTATTCTTTGGCATTATCACTTCGTAAAACTTTGATTACTTTTCCAAATTGATTTTTGATTTCGTTAAGGAAAGACTTAAAGATAGGTAATAATTCAGAACGGTCTTTCATTAGATAAATCCAAGTACACCTAGAAAACTCATCAATGAAGGTAACAAAATATCTATAGCCAAAGGATGAGACACGATTAGGACCCCAAATATCAGAATGAACAAGAGAAAAGACAGAGTCACATCTAGATTCAGAACATTTAGGAAAAGAGGACCTAGTATGTTTCCCTAGTTGACATGATTCACATTCAAAATCTTGAAGAGTTTGAAGTTCAGGAACCATTTTTTTTAATCTTGATAAGTGAGGGTGCCCTAACCGTTCGTGTAATAATTTTGGAGACAAGGATGCAACACAAGATACAGATGATTTAGTCCCAAGGTAATATAAGCCTCCAGATTCATGTCCTTCGCCAATCTGTCGACCCGTACCACGTTCCTGTATAACAAAAGAGTTGGCATTAAAGGTTACTGAACAATTCAATAATTTGGTTAATTGACTTAGGGAAATGAGACTGAAGGGACATGAAGGAACAAAAAGAACAGATTTTAAGTTTAAAGACGGAGAAATGGAGACTTGACCAGTTCCTTTAGAGGCTACTTTAGATCCGTTGGCTATGGCTAAGGTTATGAGATGAGGAGTTTTAGGAAATGAGAGAGAAGAGAACAAAGAGGTATTACCAGACATGTGATCAGAAGCACCTGAGTCAATAATCCATGGATTTTGACTTTCCACAGATTGTGAAATGCAAGCTGTTGATGAATTTGGGGTTGTTGATGACTGTGCTAGATTACTGGATTTCAACCTCAAATATTCCTGATATTCTTCGTGAGAGAACTTGGGTTCAACCATTTCAGATTTGGAAAAATTGACAGTTTTATTAGGAAAACCGTGCAAAGAGTAGCAATTTTCCACTGTATGACTCATTCTCTTGCAATGAGTGCACTGAGGACGTCCTCTACCTCCACGTCCTCCTCTAGTGCCGCGACTTCCTCTTCCATGGGTAGAAATCATAGCAGAAGATTCAACAAGTTCTTGATTATTTTTTTCTTTGAGAGTTGGAACACGAAACAGTCTTGTAGTCAAACTTTCCATAGAAGGAACTTCTTGTCCAGTTAAAATTTGATCTCTAACATGATCAAATTCTGAATTCATAGCTCGGAGAGTCATAACCATATAGAATTTATCCAACTTTTGCTTTATCTCCTCTAACTAATCCACCTCTAGGCACATCTTTAATTCTTCAACTGCTGATTGAGCTTCAGCAATAAAGATCATCATATCTTTATCCACTTGCTTGAGAGAAGCTAATCGATTAGCGGAATCATAGAGGCGTTGGATATCATTTGCGAAGATATTCTGAGCTTTTTTCCAGAAAGAGTTACATGTTTTGAAGGATCTGAGAGTGTTCAAAATATTTGGTTCTACTGATTGCCACAGTAGAGCAGAGTTGATAATCAAGTTTTTTCCATTGTTGAGTCTGATCTTCTGGTATCTTACTTCCGTCTTCTTCTAGATGATCGTGAAACTCTTGTCCAAGGAACCAAAGTTCCACTGAAGAGGACCAAGACATGTAATTTTTTCCATTTAATTTTTCAGCAGTTATCGTGGGAGTTCCGGAAAAGAAGGTTGTGGGCCCTGACGACATGTTTTAAATAATGTAGATGTAAGATGGAGACAATGGAACCTGTAAGAAAGAGAACACCCAAAATAGCCGGAAGGTTACTGGAAGGTGGTCGGAAAGTCGTCGAACGGCAGCAAAAAAAAAGATGACTGGACTGGGGACTGACGATTGCCGAAAAGTGACCGGAAAGTGGCTGAACGGTGGCTGGAAAGTGGTCGGACGGTGATCAGAAAATGACCGGACGGTGATTGGAAAATGATCGGACGGTGACCGGAAAATGGTCGGACGGTGACCGGAAAATGGCCGTGACCGAAAATGGTCGGACGGTGGCCGGACAGGCAGAGCAGGACCAACCTGCTCTGATACCAAGTTAAGAGAGTAAAGAGAATGAAAAGAAGATTTCTAATTTTGTGGGATGCTTACTCCACTCTATGATCTCATATATATATATATATATATAGGATTATAACATTTAAAACAACAACTACCAACTACCACCAACCACCAACCACCAACCACCAACCACCAACCACCAACCACCAACCACCAACTACTAACCACTAACTAATAATAATTCTAACAGAAACAACCATCAAATATATATTAATTTTGCCTATCAGTTACTATTACTAACAATCAGGAAATATATATTAAAAAGCAAGTGTACTCACTATCATTCCAGCATGTGCACATAGGTAGAAGTCATAATTTCTGGGGTGACAAATTTTATTGTCGACAACAGTTCCTGAAAAACACCAGGTTGATAAATAGGGGAACAGGTAGTTTCCATTTAAAAAATCTTACTGCAAAGAACCAGAACACTTGCCAGGAGGGACATTGTCAGGAGAGTTCGGCTGGAAAAATCTGGTGTGGTGGTTCTTCTGAGCAACAATTACCACAAACTTTGGCTCCCAATTTTCATCAAGAAATTTGCAAGCCTATATTTCAAAGATCAGTTCTAAAGACTAAAATGACAGTACTTAAAAGCACAATTCACCAGCATCAGTACCTCAATGATACGATCAAGTTCAATATTCAAAACTTGATTGAACTGTGACTCACTAACACCATCCCTATATTAGGTATAAAGGAGAAAAATGCTCAGTTTAATCAAACAGGTAAAACATACTGACATTAAATCAATATATCTGCGTGCATAAACTCAATACTTCAATCCACAGAAAAATAATACAAGGTAAATATACAAGATAATATTATTTGAAATAGAAAAATAATTCAAGCCACTTGAAAAAGCAAACATTTTCCTACAACAAAGCCTTAACACTCTACGTGATAACATGACTTGCCATAAAACTTGAATATTAACAGTTGCAACTGCCAAATGAATAAACAAGAAAAATAAAAGACAAAATAATAAACAGAAGCTGCATTCTCATACCTGAATATGATAATATTTTCTGGTTTTCTCCTCCCAGAAGTCGAATAGAAATCAAGCAAAAGTTCCCTGCAAAAATTGAAACCCATCAGTATAGGCAGTCCTTATACACAGATCATCAGGGATAAAAAGCCTGTAAAAATTAATACAACTACAAACAATATTTTGAACTTTTGCTTTGACAAGACAAAATGAAAAGATATATTCCAAAATCAGCACAAATTTATATTCAAGCACCAGGAACTAGAATGTACAAATATTGCTAAGTTGTTGAACTACAGTTTATGAACTATTTAACCTCATTATGCCTTCATCTTCCTTTTCAGATACTTGGTTGAACAAATTATCTATCATTTCAACCTTAGCAGATTGGGTACGAACACAAGCCCTATACTTAGATAACAGAGGCCAGTGTCTAGAGCTGACCACCTGCATGTCCATATTTACACATTAGGCATGAAGGCTAACACCAAAACTAATATAACTTCATGCAGAAATTTACGCTTAGCACCACTATATGCATTTAGAAACAAATACAACTGATAGAAAGCACACAAACACCACTATGCATTTACCGCAGCAATAGAAGGAATATCAGTTTGCCCAGGAGAGCCATGTGACACATCCATGCCCAGAATGAGGGTGGGAGCTTTGGAAACAATAGGAAGAGATGGAGAATGCTCAACACCTAACAAGGAATTCAATCCACCAAGCTGCATAACCACAAACAAATTCAATGGGTAAAAAAATATCCTTGTGATGAATCATCAACTAAGCAATAAAAATCCCATTATACCAAGCCTCATCATAGCAAATAGGGAGGCATTAAGGTATTTATTTATCTGAAGTGACATTATATACTATAGACAAGAGGTTTCACCGGCACATGCAATAAAAACAAATTATCAGTTACAAGAACCAAGTGATATCTTAGTATGTGGGGAAAGGGTATGAATTTGTTCATCACACTTCATCTCCTTATGATATAACATGTTTTACAGGCATGTTCCAACATGGATATGCTGTATAATATTACCAAAAATACCAACCACTGAATATATACCTTGGCATTGATCTTCAACATAACATTGGTAAGAAGCTGATCATTGACCCTTGTAGGACACATACATTGATTAATAATTCCAAAATCAGCCAGATTCTTCTTTTTCCATGGACCTTCATAGTCAAAAATAAACTTTTCATTTGAGAAACATGAAAATTGTTTGGGCATATATATATATATATATATATATATATATATACATATATATATATATATATATATATATATATGTATATATATATATATATGTATATATATATATATATATATGTATACATATATATATCTATGTATACATATATATATATATGTATACATATATATATCTATGTATACATATAGATATATATGTATACATATATATATGTATACATATACATACATATACATATATATACATATACATACATATCTATATACATATGTATACATATATATACATATCTATATATATATATATATACATATACATATGTATACATATCTATATACATATACATATATATATATATATATGTATACATCTATATATATACATCTATATATATATATATCTATATATATATATATACATATATATATACATATATATATATATATAGATATATACATGGTTATCGAACTCGCGGGTTGACTCGTACACCCGTACGAGTCAGCGAGTCAAGCTATTATGTACGGGTTAACTCGCATCTAAACTCGTTTTTTGTTTGACTCGGAGTGAACTCGGAATAAACTCGCTGACTCGGAATAGACTCGCGAGTTTGAGAGCGAGTCACCGAGTTCGTAGGGAGGACGAAACGACGAACCAAAATGTCGTTACCATCTAGATTTTAAACCCGAACAAAACCCCTATCCATCCAAATCGAAATCCTAAACGAAATCCTAAACGAAATTAAAGATTGAAACCCAAATCAAAAACCCTAATCGAAGAAGAAGAGAAAATCAAAGATGAAAACCTAGATCTGACCTCGCCTCGCAGCTCCGCGTCGCGTCGCGTTTTGTTTTCGCCCCCCGCAGCTCTCGCCTCGCAGCTCCGCGTCTTCGCGTCGCGTTTTCGCCCCCGCAGCTCAGTGGCGTCGCACCTCTGGTGGTCTCGCGTAGCAGCTTCGGTCACCTCGCCTAGCAGCTCCGGTCGCCTCGCCTCGCCTCGCGTCGCAGGTAGTTCGTGAGTGTGTGTGAGGATGTGCGTTGCATTTCTCCGAAATGCAATGCATTTTGCTTAACTAAAACTTTTATTTATTTATTTATTTATTTATTGAATAGGTAGTATTTATATAATTTATTTTCTGTTTTATTTATTGAATTTATTTTTTGTTGCATATTTTATCTTTTATTTTAGTTGTTTTTTATAGTTGTTCTAAAAAAATAAATTATTTTATTTTTAGTTAATTGAGACTCGATTTGCAATGTCCGGAAGTGGGACTCGCTTCAAATTCTTGTGATTCCAATGTTAATGCATCTTCACTACCTAGACCTCCTAGACCTAGAAGTAAAAATGCTTTAGGAAACCGGACCGACATTGGATGGAAATACTGAACGAGATGTTTCGGGTAATGAAAAAAAGTTAAATGTAATTATTGCTCAAAAATAATCAATGGAGGAGTTTTCAGATTCAAACATCATCTTGCTCGGTACTAGATATGATTCTGAACCATGTGCCTCGAGTTCAGAAGAAGTGAAAGTTGTAATGATGAAAGTTGTAGCAGAGGCTAAAGATGTTTCAGAAAAGAAAGGAGACGGAATATAATTGATGAGTATGATGATGAGCACATTCAAGAGGTGGATACCACTCAAAGTAGTAGTAGTATGATGTTCAAAAATAAAGGAAAGGACAAATTCAGTCAAGGTGTTCAATCTACTTTAAATCAACTGTATAAGGGGATAAAGAAAAAGTTGATACTCAAGTGGCGGAATTTTTTTACACAAGTGCCATTCCATTCAATGTTATTAGAAATCCTGCTTTTGCAAAAATGTGTGAGATGATTGGAAGATATGGAGTTGGTTACAAACCCCCATCATATCATGATATTAGAGAAAAACTTTTGAAACAAGCAGTGCAAAAAGCTGATGTAATCCTTGAAGAATATAAGGAGGAGTGGAAAAGAACGAGGTTGCACAATCATGTCCGATGGGTGGACTGACAAAAAAGACGTTCTATTTGTAACTTTCTAGTCAATAGTCCTAAAGGGACTGTGTTTCTTTACTCATTGGATACATCAAATATCTCAAAAACTGCAGATAAAGTGTTTAAGATGTTGGATGATGTAGTGGAATTTGTTGGAGAGGAGAATGTGGTTCAAGTGGTTACCGATAATGCTCGCAACTTTCAAGGCAATTGGAGAGTTATTGATGCAAAAACGAGAGCATTTGTATTGGACCCCATGTGCTGCCCATTGCATTGATTTGATTTTTGAAGATTTTGAAAAACATTTGAAGGTCCATCAAACTACTATCAAGAAGGGAAGAAGAATCACTACCTACATTTATGGTAGAACAATGCTAATTAGCATGTTAAAGAAGTTTACCAAAGGTAGAGACTTGATAAGGCCAGGTATGACTAGATTTGCCACATCTTATCTAACTCTTGCATGTCTTCATGAATTGAAAGCATCATTGATGAGCTTCTTTAGTTCTGATGAGTGGAAATCAAGCAAATTTGGAACTTCAATGGAAGGGAGAAAAATTGAGCATGTGGTATTAGATAGTCGGTTCCGGAAGAATGTAACCATTTGTCTCAAAGTTGCTGCCCCTTTGATGGTGGTCCTTCGATTAGTGGATTCGGATATAAAACCCGCAATGGGTTTCATTTATGAAGAAATGGATTCCGCCAAAGAGAAGATCAAATTTAACTTTAATAATATTAAGAAAAGGTAAAATTTATAAACTTTCTCTTTTCGATTTTCATTCTTTATTTTGTGTAATTATTTCTAACATTGCATGATTGCATCATTGCAGTTATGAACCTGTTTGGAACATAATTGATGAGAGGTGGAATAATCAACTTCATAGACCTTTGCATGCTGGCTGCATATTACCTTAACCCTCACATGCACTATGAACCTAATTTTAGAAATGATGATGTGGAGGTAAAAGAAGGGTTGTATGAATGCATGAAAAGATTGGTCAAGGATGTTGCAGAAAGGAAAAAAATTAATTTACAACTTCTAGACTTTCATTTTGCAAAAGGACTTTTCTCAATGGAAAATGCAAAAGATTGCAGGAAAGTTATGCTTCCTGGAGAATGATGGGAAATGTTTGGAGATGGAACTCCAGAGTTGAAGCGATTTGCTATTTGAGTTTTGAACTTAACTTGTAGTTCTTCTGGGTGTGAGCGTAATTGGAGCTCATTTGAAATGGTAAGTCAAATTTGTTAAGTTATTATTTGTGTTTAATTTTTTGTATTTAAACATTCATATTTATTTATAGGTTCACACAAAAAGAAGAAACCGTTTGCACCAGAAAAAGATGAATGACTTGGTTTATGTCATGTACAACTTGAAGCTCAAAAATAAACAAAATAGGAAAACAGCTTGCTCTCCCATTTGATGATATTGAGTCCGATGATGAATGGATAACGGAAGATGGTGATAATGTTGGGATTGAGCCAGCTTCAAGGTGAAGGTGATGAGGAAAATGTTGACATAGCTGAAATAAGTTCGAGTTGATCCTTCTTTAGAACCAATTGATCTTGATAATATAGTGTTTGATGCCAATGTTGATGATGCACTCTTATCATCCGAGGAAGAGGTTGATGGTGATGGAGAAGATGATGATGAAGATGAAAAAGATGATGATGTTGGAGATGATATAATTAGAGGATTGGAGCTAGAAAGTTGAAGTTATTTATTTTTTGGTGATTTGTATTAACTTATGTATTTTGTGTAATTTGAACTTATATAACAATCATGTGTGTTGAACCAAGTTATTTTAGAATTATTGAACTATTGTTTTTTATTTTCGTTAATTTTGATGATGAAATTCTGAATTTATATTATTATATAGAATTTTTCATATGAAGTAGACTCTTACGAGTCTACGAGTCGAGTTTACTGAGTCGAGTCTACGAAGCTCTCACGAGTCTACGTAGACTCTCGATTCTGATAACCTTGGATATATACATATATATAACACCAAAATCACTAACCATAAATATCACAATTTTTCCGATCAGGAAGCAAACAGAGAAGGAACTGAGGAGCTCCCGGAAGTTTAGACTGGATGCTTTCGAACATCTTCTCCACTCTAACCATGGGAGGGGCACGCCTAAACTGAGGATTCTCATCAAACACATCAAATGGTTGCTCTATCAACTGCAGAAATCAAAGAAAGTTAAATCGCAGCCTTTTGTAACCCTTTCAGACTTCACTAAATATGAGTTACAGAACTTACAATTCCTTTCATATCTCCAATTCTAATCAGGTCCCGCACAAGTCCTCGTACATCACAGCGTGCAGAAAAGTTGGCAACAGCCCATCTTTCTATCTTTGACGGTTCCACAAATCTCTGAAGCATTCAATTAATTAGAATCTAACTAAGCCAATATTGTTATTCAGTGAAAAAATATTAAAATTACACATGAATAGGAATATAACTACAATAAGTACCTTGTTGCTAACATTCCATCTTCCATTCCTTGGATTAATGTCCTCACCATTGCCAAACTTCAACTAGAAGATTCAATAATCATTTTCAAGCCATAAAATGTCTCGAGAAGAAAATGTTCCTAATTGACCACTATACATTGCTAACATCAGGAAATTTACGATTGGCAATGAGTAAATTTTACCTTAACTGCACACAATTAAGTAAAATATATGTTTACTTCAATCAGATTTTAAAAAATAATTGCTAATTTTCCAAACTTTTTGTGAACTTCTGGAAAAATAAAGCCATTATTTCAAGGGGAAAATCCATGCTCAAGCATGCATTAAGACCCATTAAGCAAAAGAAGCAATTATAGTTTCATAAATTAAAACTCATCAAATTAACCACATAACATCAACTGAACTCCAAAAGAAATCAAAAATTTGTTTAAGTTTGGTAAATATGAGAAAAAATCCTTATTATTAATTCATATAGGGAAAATTCGACTCACTCAATATTCGACTAAAGAGTTCAGAATTTGCTTAAATGCATCAAAATATCATGAGATTTGCTTAAGGCAAGCTAAACTTTAAGGATTTAAAATTATGACCATCAAGATCAAGGCAATAACACATCCTTAGTAACAAAGGGAATAAAGTCATTTCTTAGATTATACTACTGTTTGATAGATACCCTTTCTTGATTAATTACATGTTAGCTACACATTGATCTTTACAAGATCAGCCGGTTAGCCTGGCTTAATTGGGAAGGCATGATTAGAGAAATAAGTATGCTTCATTTAAATAAGAAAAAGGATTGGGAGGAGACATTTTATCTATGAATTAAAGAGGAAATTCAGATTGTTGTGGCGGAGAGTCCTTATTCTGACCCAGTTCCTATATATTTGAACATCAGAAGAAAGTGTCTAGTTCATTTAAAAGTAAATGGGATTTTCTCAAGCTAAAGCATGTAAAACCATATTTCTATCAAGGGCTACTTAACAAGGGCCATTTCCATCTCGTTTCTTAAAATGGGAAAATAAAGTTTACTGTGGCATTAGCTGCAAGGTAAAGATGTAATATAAAATTAACAAAAAGATTCATAAACAATGGTATGAATACCCTTGGTGCAGGCAAAACCCGACCTTCCACTTCAGTGAAACCAGTGCTTATAGAAACTCCACAATTTCGGAGCAAGGGTTCAGACCCATAGTTGCTGCTTCTAAGTGCCTTCAGCAAAAATAATGGTAAGATTCCTTATTCAATACATGGATTAAAAATCTTATCACTCAAAATGTAGCAAAACAACTCACATCGGACAAAATTTTCATCCTGTCTTGTGGTTTCTGCCTGGATTTCTCCACTAGTGAAGCCCTTTGAAGGGTGGACAGAGCTTTTGTATATCGTTGCAATGATACCAATTCACAAAGCTATAAAAGCGAGAGAGAAAAAGCATTTGTTAGATACTAAATATGCAACTAATATCGTTCTGTGCACATATTAATACTAACAAAAGCAGTATGGAAAACAATAAAGAAAAATATACCTCAATGGGATAATAAGTAGGTCGTTTAGGCTTGCCAACATTAATGCATGGAAGGTCAGCAGAGTATCGCAAATCTATCTTTCTTATCTTAACAAAATAATCATAAACAGTGATTTCCTCGGTACCATCTCCACCATCCCCTCCACCTTTACCCTTCAAAGTAAAACTGCAAAACATAAACCTTCATCAAAAACCTCATGCAACAACTGTAAAATAACAATGCAGCACAATACACAAGGTAAATGGTTGGCCTTCAACAGCCAAAGGAATTTAAGAAAATTTAAAAACAAGTACGTTTGCTCTCTGCATGGGAGTTCACTGAGCCCATTAATTTTGAATTCTTGATTGGATGGCCTGGTTTTAATCCTCAGATTCTTTAAGGTCCTTTTGGCCTATTAGGAAAAAAATTAAAAAGATCAGGCCTAAGCCTTAAAGATCAGTGAAGGATTATGAAAATGTATCCAGAAAACTTGTTTACCTTAGCCCAGTCAAGTTGAAAAGGATCTCTAGCATTTTGATTGGAAATTAAGAAATCCACCACAGGGCCAGGAGTAATTATCATGGTAGTTGAAACATCTAAGCAAATTAGAAATTGCAAGAATTAGACCAAACATATTGACTTCAGAAGATATCATACAGGCAACAGATTTAACCTATGTTAAGTGACAGGCCACTCTGTGTAGTTCTAAAACTTGAATGGAATCCTCTACAGCCAAGTACGCCACCTCCTACATCAGCAAAATTGTTTGAATCATTGTGGAAGAAAGATTGACGTACAAGTAAGCAGCCTCTGCAAAGCAACATGCAGCTATATTATCTTTTGGGAAATCAAATAGTATTTTAGGAAAGAATAAATTAGGAAATTTGTAATTTATACAGATTTGAACAATTAGGAACAATCTCATAAATCAAAGGATCCTAGAATAAAATAAAGTTATTATATTTCCTAAAATATCTTAGGTCTCCTGTATATATCTTGTATGATCTCTTTGTATTATAATAATAAAATAAGATTTCATTTAATCTAATTTTCCAAATGGTATCAGAGGTTCCGATCTAGGAAGTTCTGTATGCGCACTATAAACCCTAAGACAGCAACCTGTTGTATTTTTTTTAACCCTAAGACGGGAGCCTGCATTGCTGCTGCAGTTTTCTTAACCCTAAGACGACAACATGCATTGTTGTTGTATCGCACCTTTTTGCTATAATGTCAAGGGAAGAGGAAGTTATGAACCCAACCCCAAAAACGGGGAACATCCAATCCCAGCAATCTAGAGAACTACAGAATATCCATTCTGCATATAGACTAAATGGAAAAAATTATTTGAAGTGGGCCCAACTTGTTCGTACAGTGTTGAATAGAAAGGGGGTAGCCGAACAGAAGAAAGGAGGATCAACAAATGTGGAGAAGAAAGGTGATGGTCTCTGGTGTACCTATTGCAATAAGCCTCGTCATACCTGAGAGAAGTGTTGAAAGTTACATGGGAAGCCTTTAAATCGAGATCGAGAAGGGGGACATAGAGGAGGCTCCTTAAGGAAAGGAGGACAAGTTTATGTTGTTGCTGAAACAAATGAAGGAAATAATCCAGAAGCTGTTGCCCATCTTAACCAAGAGGAGATAAAAAGGGTGAAAACCATTCTTAGTAAGCTGGAAAAACCTACAAGTGTGTGTTCTTTGGCATCCTCAGGTAAGTTTCCACTTTCTTTTGGATTAAATGTCTCAGATACACCTTTTAACCATTATTGGATATTGGACACTGGAGCTATTGACCACATGACACCATTAGCCAAACACTTATCCACATATTCCCCATGTCCCAGCAACAAGAAAATTGCCACAGTAGATACAACCCTTATAACTGTAGCTGATCAAGGAAATATCTAAATCAATCATTTAATAACCTTAAAAGATGTTCTCCATGTCCCAAAGTTGTCCACTAACCTAATGTCTATACAAAAACTTATAAAGGATTTATCATGTAAAGTTTTTTTCAACGATCATTGTGTATTTCAGGACAAGGATTCGGGGAGGATGATTGGACATGCTAGAGAATGGAATGGCCTTTATTATCTCGAAGATCCAAGTCTGCCCAGCAAAAGCAGAATCTCTCACTCCTTCATATCTGAATCCTTGATGACCAACAGAGAAAAAAATATGCTTTATCAAAACACCACAACAGAATGGGGTCGCAGATAATGCCAAAGATTACTTCAATCATGTCCTTAATTCTTTTTGTCAAAAAGAAAGTATAATTTATGAGTCCTTTTGTGTCAAAACACCACAGCAGAATAGGGTCGCAGAGAGGAAAAATGGACATTTATTAAATCAGACTCGGGCATTGTTGTTCCAAAAAAGTGTCCCAAAAAATTTCTGGGGGGAAGTTGTCCTTACAGCAACATACCTTATCAATAGACTACCCTGTAGAGTCTTAGGATCAAAAAGCCCTATGGAAGCTTTGTCGTCTTTCTATCCAAACCTGTCTACTACAAATAATCTTAAACCAAGAGTTTTTGGGTGCATCTCATATGGCCATATTCATAGTTCATACAGGGGAAAACTTGATCCTAGAGTCTTAAAGTGTGTCTTTGTTGGTTGCTCACCCACTCAGAAAGGGTATAAATGCTACCACTCCCCATCCAAAAAATTCTTTGTGTCTAGGGATGTTACCTTCAATGAACAAGAGGGTTATTTCTGTTAAGGTTCCAACATAAAACCAATTGGCAATATGTGGAGTAGCCTAACATGTATTTAAACCATACCAAATGATATGAGGTAGGCGATGTGGGACTTTCAACACACCCCCTCCAACGAAGCCCGCCGGACCAGGCAAAGGGTACTTTTGACCCATGACAATAACCGGAAAGATGTTAGGCTTTGGCTCTGATACCATGTTAAGGTTCCAACATAAAACCAATTGGCAATATGTGGAGTAGCCTAACATGTATTTAAATCATACCAAATGATATGAGGTAGGCGATGTGGGACTTTCAACATGTTAAGTTTCCAACATAAAACCAATTGGCAATATGTGGAGTAGCCTAACATGTATTTAAACCATACCAAATGATATGAGGTAGGCGATGTGGGACTTTCAACACACCCCCTCCAACGAAGCCTGCCGGACCAGGCAAAGGGTACTTTTGACCCAACTAAAGGGCAACTTTTGGCCCATGACAATAACCGGAAAGATGTTAAGCTTTGGCTCTGATACCATGTTAAGTTTCCAACATAAAACCAATTGGCAATATGTGGAGTAGCCTAACATGTATTTAAACCATACCAAATGATATGAGGTAGGCGATGTGGGACTTTCAACAACATAAAACCAATTGGCAATATGTGGAGTAGCCTAACATGTATTTAAACCATACCAAATGACATGAGGTAGACGATGTGGGACTTTCAACACACCCCCTCCAACGAAGCCTGCCGGACCAGGCAAAGGGTACTTTTGACCCAACTAAAGGGCAACTTTTGGCCCATGACAATAACCGGAAAGTTGTTAGGCTTTGGCTCTGATACCATGTTAAGGTTCCAACATAAAACCAATTGGCAATATGTGGAGTAGCCTAACATGGTATCAGAGCCAAAGCCTAACATCTTTCCGGTTATTGTCATGGGTCAAAAGTACCCTTTGCCTGGTCCGGCGGGCTTCGTTGGAGGAGGTGTGTTGAAAGTCCCACATCGCCTACCTCATATCATTTGGTATGGTTTAAATACATGTTAGGCTACTCCACATATTGCCAATTGGTTTTATGTTGGAACCTTAACAATTTCCATCAACCTTATCTTCAGGGGGAGAGTTTCAGGGAAGATAAGAAAAGTAGTAATTCTGGTTTCCCATTCTTCCAGACTTGATATTTGAACCTAAACGAGATCATATTGAAAGTAGTAATTCTGGTTTTCCCATTCTTCCAGACTTGATATTTGAACCTAAACGAGATCAAATTGAAGCTGTAACAAATGAAACAAGTTAAGGAATTGGTCAAGAAAAGGAAGTTGGTCAAGAAAGTGAAATTAATTGTGAAGCTGATTAAGATGTTGAAGCTGGAAAATTTGGTAAGAAGTTGATGTACTCAAGGAAGACAAAGGCCATTCCAGGATTAAGCCATGTTCAAGAATCCAACTCGACTCCACAAAAAGAGGTAACATTTTTTTCTCCATCTGTACAGGTTGAAATTGAAACTCAAAATGATCATAACCTCCCAATTGCCATTAGAAAAGGGACAAGAAAATGCACCAAACAACCACTCTACCCTCTCTAAAATTACCTGCCTTTAAAAATTTCTCTCCCACCCATAAAACCTTCCTAGTAAACCTAAACACAGTACTTCTACCTAATACCCTATCTGAGGCATTGTCTGACAGAAAATGGAGACAAGTCATGGATGTAGAGATGGAGGCATTGGAGAATAACAACACCTGGGAGTTAGTCACCTTACCAATAGGAAAGAGGTCAATTGGATGTAAGTGGGTCTATACAATGAAATACAAGGTTGATGGATCAATTGAGAGATATAAGGCAAGACTAGTTGCCAAATGGTTCACCCAAACCAATAGAGTTGATTATTTGGAGACCTTTGCTCCGATTGCCAAAATGAACACAGTTAGGGTGATATTGTCCTTTGCTGCCAATTATGGTTGGAACTTGGACAATTTGATGTTAAGAATGATTTCCTACATGGATACCTTGAAGAAGAAATTTATATGGCGATACCTCTGGGATATGGTAGAGATGTTGTTGTCAACACTGTTTGCAAGTTGAAAAAGACATTATATGGGCTAAAACAGTCCCCCCATGCATGGTTTGGAAGGTTTCCTATGGTTTGGAAGGTTTCCTAAAGTTATGACAGGTCTGGGTTACAAACAGAGCTAAGGAGATCATACTTTGTTTTTTAAACATTCCAAGTCAGGGGGAGTAACAATATTATTAGTGTATGTGGATGACATAATATTAACTAGAGATAATAAACAAGAGCAGCAATTGTTGAGCCAATACTTAGGCAAGGAATTTGAGATCAAGACCTTGGGAAAACTAAAATATTTTTTAGGAATTGAAGTTGCTCACTCCAAGAAAGGGATATTTATATCCCAGCAGAAATACATCACTGATTTGCTCAAGGAAACTGGCAAGGCAACTTGCAAACCTACTAGTACCCTATTAGAACCAAACCTAAAGCTTGGAAATGCAGAAGATGTTTCTGTTGAAAAAGATATGTACCAACGATTAGTGGGCAGACTTATATATTTGTCGCATACCAAGCCAGATATTGCCTATGCAGTGAGTTAAATTAGTCAATTTATGCATAACCCAAAGGAGACCCATTTACAAGCAGCCCACAAAATTTTACAGTACCTTAAAAGAACTACAGGAAGAGGGATTCTATTTAAAAGGAACGGTAATGTGAAGCTTGAAGCCTATACTGATGTTGATTATGCAAGGTCAATTGTGGATAGGAGGTCAACTGCAAGATATTGCACCTTTCTTGGAGGAAATCTTGTGACTTGGAGAAACAAAAAGCAGGCTATAGTGGCTCGGTCCAGTGCTGAAGCAGAATTTCGAGCCATGACACAAGATATATGTGAGTTGCTATGGCTTAAAATCATCTTAGAAGACTTGAGGATAAAATGGGAAGAACCTATGAAGCTCTATTGTGATAATAAGTCAACAATTAGCATAGCCCACAACCCAGTGTAGCATGATAGAACAAAGCATATTGAAGTAGACAGACACTTCATCAAAGAAAAGCTTGATAGTGGCTTGATATGCACTCCATATGTGTCTTCGCAAGACCAAATTGCAGACATTCTTACCAAGAGACTGAGCTGCCACAATTTTGAGAAGATTGTATTCAAGCTGGGAATGGAAAACACATATTCACCAGCTTGAGGGGGAGTGTGGGAAATCAAATAATATTCTAGGAAAGAATAAATTAGGAAATTTGTAATATGTACAGATTTGAACAATTAGAAACAATCTCATAAATCAAGGGATCCTAAAATAAAATAGAGTTATTATATTTTCTAAAATAGCTTAGGTCTTCTGTATATATCTTGTATGATCTCTTTATATTAAAATAATAAAATAAAATTTCATTTAATCTAATTTTCCAGATTATCCAGGTACTATAATGTAACAGTCATGGAAAATAAATTACAATTACTCATACAAAGAAAAAGAAAGCATTATTTACTTACTGCTTGGCAGCATGCTGCCTCAAAATGATATCAAGAACTCTAATAGCTTCTTGAAAATTCTCTGTCTCTTGCCCACGTAAGGCATTGGTGATGGCCTGCATTGGAATTTTCGCAGCATAGCTTATCTCTACTTTGAAAGACTTGGCATGGTATGGACGTCGCATCCTCTTTCTATCACTCTCATTGTCCCCATCAGGGCTGCAATTTCCATTGTTCCTAAGAAACAAAATTAAAAGGATTTGTTGCTGACACAATAATAGGAAAACCAATTTGGGGGCCAAAATAACACTGGTATGTCTAATTCTTTGTACCTGTTAGAAGTGACATCCTCCAGAACAACATCAAACTCAAGCTTGTTCCGAGGAAGAGAACCAATAGTAAACAAACTTTTCTCCCCATCATATGCAAAGTCCTTACCATTTAAGTCAGAATGATATGTCTCTTGCACCCTGTCCATTATCTTTCTCCCTACACCCTTACCTTCTACAGGGCGTCCATCTTCATAAGTAAAAGCCACCTGTTTGCATATATCATGTAATACTGTAAGCACCAAGTTTATGTGACAGACATATATAATACTAGACCAAAAAGGAAGAACATACACTATAATGGAAGAAATGTCCGTCGTTTTTAGTGACATTAACTTTGAAGTGATTAGTTAGTAATTGTATTTTCATTCCCCTCGATCCCAGACCACGTCTGGCAATAGGAAGTTGGCAGACCTTTTTCTTAACAGGTTCTGAAAGGGTAGAGAGCACCTCTTCAGCTTTGAGAGGTACAACATCAGAGGGAACAACAGGAGGTGGTGGCGGAAGTGACTCCTCCTTCCCATTTCCATCTGGCTCAAAGGAATCCATAGCCTGTATAAACAAAGTGAGGTATATAAGGTAAAACAGGGGATCATATTATACTGAGAATCACCAGAACCACACCAAAAAGCATGCTGTGTGAAAGCTATGAAAGATGGGTAAATGGCTATCATAATACTGCCATAACAAGTTTCCACACATAAACTAGAAAATAATTAAACAGATTTTATTTTAAATTATGTCATGAACTATAATGGGTATGTATCCAATGCTGCAAAAGCACCTGCATATGCGGTCTCTGCCTAAATTCTCCACACCAATGTTTCGTCACAGCCAAAATTTAAATACATGAATTTGAGAATCCATGTCAAGGAGAGTGTTTACCAAAAAGAAAAAACAAAATATGTTACGTTAATTATTAGTTTAATGTAAACAAGAGGTCAACTTCAAGTTGATAAATTACACAAATAAATTAAGAAAAATGTTACTTAGAACAGAAAAGATCACTTAGATTCGTATATACAGACTAATATGTCGTCATCTAACAAAGATAATAAAGAAAACACACTCCTTCAAGCCACACTCAGTACAAGCAGCATCCAGAAGTTAAAGACATGCATGGCAAGAAAGTAGGACTTTCCAATTATCACAAAAAATGTTAATAAAAGAAAAATGAAAATGATCCCAAAATGACACACATATCGACCTCAGAATCGCAAAAATTAAACTAATATGGTGAAAAAAAACAAAATTTATTAACAAAGTAAACCCATTTCTGATGGGAAATATGGTTTAAAGAAATCAAGGCAGAAAAATTTTAAAAATAAACTTTTTGCTTCAGAATAAACAGTCAAAGAAACAATATTTCAAAGTCAGACAAAAAGCACATCCTCAAATTCGTAGAAATAAAATAAATAAAAATTAAAACTGCTTCTGTGTATTTCTGAACAAAAAATGAACAACACTTCGCACATTTCAAATCCAGAAGAAAAAAGAACACCCACAAAAAAAAAAAAAAAAAAAATACGGCTGAAAAAATGTGAACCCATAACAGCAATGCTTACATTATAATCACACCTCCAAAAGACTCAAAAACAAAAACAGCTTCATTTCAAAAGGTGACAAAAAGAATCAACTAACAGAGGGTAAGCTGGACCTGGAGTTGAAACAAAGGGAACCCTAAAGTCCTTGAACACGGACAGAGAGAAAAGAATAGCACGAGAACAGAGTGAACCGGTGAATTTTGAGAAGGTTCAGAATGGGATGTGTTTTTAAGGGCTTAGGTGTCAACGCTGTCTTTAAAGTATCTGAATGAGGTCATCCTCTCTTTCCGGTGACTAGTCAAGCTAGCAGTTATTGAGTACGGTTGGGTGCGTGCAGTGAATGGGTACGGGGACAACTGATTTCAGTTTGGGATTGGATGAAGGGATGGGATTAAGCGAGGAGGATTGGGTTCTGTGAAGTCGAAGGCCGAAGCACACGCATGGCAAGTGAGTGGAGCATGTCGTGTCAGTGAGTCCTACCTCGGGTTGGCTGCGTAATGGGTTCAGTAGTAACTGAAGAATCAATGGACCGTTCTATCTTTTGTTACTTTATTTTAAAATAAATAAATAAAATACGTTATATATATATATATATATATATATATATATATATATATATATATATATATATATTTTACGGTATAAATGATAATGATCCGAACTAATAGGCATGAATTAGATTCAGTTTGTCTGAACTAACCACTCATTTTAATAAATCTATTGTTCCGAGTTATAAATTAAAAAAAATTATTAAATAATTTATTTTATTATATTTTTTAGAAAAACTTTTTAAAAATAGATTATATTATTATTTAAATAATTTAATATATAAGATTATATATTTAGTTAATAAATACTAAATAATAATAATAATAATAATTATATAATTATTAACAGAAACATAAGTGTTAAAATACATGTGTCTATATTTTTTATATAATTAACTTTTTAAAACTATTTTTAAAATTGTATTTTACTTTTTAAAATGTATTTATTTTTTTTACTAATTACATATTATATTTTTATATATATTTTATTAATTTTTTAAATATATAAATGATAATATTTTTTCTTTAAATTACGATATTGTTTTAAATAAATAAAAAATAAAAAATATAATTATATAATTTTATATTAATATAAGTAATTTAAAATTTATTTACATGAATTTATTAAAAATATTAAATTTTATAATTTATATTAAATTATATTTTATTTTAATAATATCTTTATTATTTTGATATTCTCTTTTCTCATAATAACTTCTCTTTAATAAATTGTCAAATTTTTATTTTTTTCAAACTAAAGGTGAGAATATAAAGTATTTGTTTCTCAAGTAAAAATAAGTACCTTTTTATCATTGTTAATCTTAAAAATTTTATTCTCAAAAATATTAATTTAAAAAAATTATAAAAAATCTTAATATAGTGTCATTCTATATTAAATATTAACTTAAAACTATGAATATGAAAAATAAATTTTCATATGAAATATTGTAATTTTGTAGTTGTTAGATATTATTTAGATATTGTTAAAATATTGTTAGATATTATTAACCATAATATCAAACAATATCTTCTGTTTATTTTGTTTACTTTCGGTTACTCTTTTAGTTGTACCTCTCTCTATTATAAATAGATTACCCTATGTGTGGTTTATACATAAGGGAGATTAATCTCAAACTCTATTTCTTCTATATTCATCATGGTATCTAGAGCTTAAGGTTATCTTGAAATTTTGTTCGCCTTTTGTCCCCTGTTGGAGCCGCGCCACCGCTGCTAGAGTCGCCCCATCGCTGCTAGAGTCGCCCCACCACTGCTGGTAAATTGATCCTCCACATCAGAAAAGAATTATCTTTATTACTGAAATTTATTTGGTAGTGTGAAAGTGCATGTCTAGGAAAGTTCTGGCAAGGAAAGACTTGGTATTTAAGTGTGTCCATTAGTGACCCACCTCTCTTTCCTGGGAACTTACCTTGTCACTGCTGCCACTGGAGCAGTCACCGGATCCGCCGCTGCCGGAGAATTTGCCGGAGTTTCATTTTTTTGACCGGTGACATATGATTTTGCTTGTCTTGGTCAGGTGACCACCGTACCGTTGAGATCACCACTATTAGAGTTGGTCGTCGAATTGTCTCCTATGCCGTTTAGTCTTGGCGAACTTATTTTTAGTATTCTCATTTTGGATTTGTGCTTCGTGGGTGGATTGGATTACTTTGGATTTTTTTTTTAGGGTTTGTTCTCCTGCCCTTCATGACTTCTTCCACTCCTTATACTACTTCCAATTTTGTTAATGATTCTTCTGTGTTGGCATCTCACCGTGATGACCGGACTCGCCCTCGCAAACAGGGAAAAGGGCGTTCTAAGTGTGAACATTGTGGCAAACTAGGTCACAAGATTAACAAGTGTTATGCATTACATGGTCGTCCTCCTCGATCTGCTGCAATTGTTCAGACCCATCTTTCCCCATCTTTGTCTGCTGGGGATCCTCCTTCTTCTGTTGCATCCGACACACCTGTTATGTTCAACAAATTTCTCAAATGGTATAAGGATCAACAATCTTCTAGTTCCACTACGTTTTTCGCACACACAGATACATATTTTGTTGGTTTGACCCAATCCTCTTCTCCTGATCCTTGGGTTTTTGATTCAGGAGCCACTGATCATATTACTGACAACAAATCTTTTTTCTCCTCTTTATCCTCTTCTAATCCTTTATCTTCTGTTACACTAGCTGATGGCTCTAGAGTATCATCTCATGGTGTTGGAACTGTTAAAATTTTCCCTTATTTAACCATTGATAATGTTCTTTATGTCCCTGAGTCTCCTTTTAACCTGTTGTCCATTAGTCGTCTAACTCGTTCTCTTGATTGTGTTGTTTCTTTTACCAACAATTCTGTGTGTTTACAGGACCGGAGTTCGAAACAGGTGATTGACACAGGATATGAGTCTCATGGTCTTTATCATCTCCATCCCTCTACACATGTTGGTGCAGTTATGGAGTCTCCCTCTCTTCTTCATGCTCAGTTAGGTCATCCAAGTCTTGCCAAGTTATAGAAACTTGTCCCTGCCTTGTCTAACTTGTCTAGTTTGGCATGTGAGTCGTGTCAATTAGGCAAGCATAGTCGTACTTCCTTTCCTCATAGTGTCACACGTGGTGCTTCGTCCCCTTTTGTCGTGGTTCACTCTGACATTTGGGGACCTAACCGCGTTAAGTCTACTTTAGGTTTTCAATACTTTGTTACTTTCATTGATGATTATTCCAGATTCATTTGGTTATTTTTGATGAAAAATCGTTCTGAATTATTTCATATCTTTCAAACTTTTTTCAATGAAATTCAAACTCAGTTCGGTGTTTCTATTAGAGTTTTGCGCAGTGATAATGGTCGTAAATATCTTTCTCATTCTTTTAAACAATTCATGGCTTCTCACGGTATCCTGCATCAAACTTCTTGTGCTTATACACCTCAACAAAATGGTGTAGCTGAATGCAAAAATAGACATCTTATTAAAACAACTCGCACTCTTTTAATTCATGGAGAGGTTCCTCAACATTTTTGGGGTGATGCTCTTCTTACTGCATGTTATCTCATTAATCGCATGCCTTCTTCGGTTTTAGATAATAAAATACCTCATTCCATTTTATTCCCTCATGAACCTCTTCATTCCTTACCCCTAAGAGTTTTCAGGTCTACATGTTTTGTTCATAATTTAAGTCCTGGTCTTGATAAGCTTTCTCCTCGATCACATAAATGTGTTTTCTTAGGGTTTACAAGATCACAAAAAGGATACAAATATTTTTCTCCTTCTCTTAACCGTTATTTTGTGTCTGCAGATGTCACATTTGATGAGTTCTCTCTTTATTTTAAAAGTCAATCTTCACCTTTGTCTTCATCCAATCCTGTCAACACTCCTAGCACATTTAATGTTCCTGTTGTGTGTGACCCTCTAACTGTGTCTTCTTCACCATTAGTTTCTATTCCGCAGTTAGCTTCTTCTCCACCGCCTCTTCAGGTTTATAGTTGTCGAAATCAATTACAACCACCACCATGTGACTCCACTCAAGTGCCAACTACTTTGTCTCCTCCGGA